AAATGTGTAACTTTCTAAGTTGCTAGATTCAAGCTTTAAACTTCAAGGTCCATCATGTAGAAAAGTGTGCAACAACTGGTTTGTTCTGGTTTTCTTCTTCCACTTCCCAGTGAAGATTCCTCTCACTTAATTAACATGAATATATATCTGGCTACACCATGGGCACAGTGGTCCCAGATATCAGTCAAAGCATCAATGTCCATGTTGTAAGCCACCAACTGAAATATATCACTCAGAATGAGACTCAGCCTTGGTTCAGAGTCATCTACAACCTTTGTGAGAGAAGATGCAGAAACATGATATTTATTTATTTCATTTTAAAATTATTTTTCTTTTTCAACCACAGTTGACATATATTATTATATTAATTTCAGGTTGCACCTCAGTGATTAGACAGAGTTTAGAAAGCAGTAGTGTTGCCTGACCACAGGTTGTGGTATAATTTCTCATTCTGTGCAGTCATACCAGAAAATGTTCATTTGTTCCTCCTGCATGGCAACTACAAGAATTTTTCCCAATTTATTTTAGGCTAATGCAACACCTAATGGAATCTTTGATCTTACCTATTTTTATTGTAAGAACATAAATTCAGATGCATAATGGAAGAAGAGGAATTGATATCCTCTCTAGCCATTTGACCCAGTGATCTCACTTCTAGGAATATATCCTAAGAATCCTGAAACACCAATCAGAAAGAACTTAGGCACCTCTATGTTCATAGCAGTGTAATTTACAATAGCTAAGATCTGGAAACAGCCCAAGTGCCCATCAGTAGATGAGTGGATAAAAAAAGCTGTGGGACATTTATACCATGGAATACTATGCAGCAGTAAAAAAGAAGGATCTTTTATCCTTTGGGACAGCATGGAGGGAACTGGAGAGTATTGTGCTAAGTGAAATAAGCCAGTCAGAGAAAGACAAGTACCACATGATCTCACTCATATGTGGAATGTAATAAACAAAATAAAACTTATGAACAAAATAGATCCAGAGACATAGAAACATGGAACAGACTGAGGGATCTCAAAGGGAAGGTGGGGATTTGGGAAAAGTGGATGGGGAGAGATTAATCAAAGAACTTATATGTTTATAAGCATATAAGTTTATGTTTACATGTTTATAAGCATATAAGCATATGTTTATAAGCATATATGTTTATGGACATAGACATTGATTGGTATGGGGAAGGCCTGGGGGTGGCGTGAAAGAGGGGTGGAGGGGATTAATGGGGGGAAAAAAGGGAATATCTGTAATATTTTCAACAATAAAAATAAAATAAAAAGAATTTTAGCAGATTGCCTGGCCAGCATGGCTCAGTGGTTGAGCATCAGCCATCAACCTATGAACCAGGAGGTCATGGTTGGATTCCTGGTCAAGGCACATACTGGGTTGCAAGCTCAATCCTCAGTAGGGGCGTGAAGCACCCAATCAATGACTCTCTTCATTGATGTTTCTCTCTCTCTCTCTCCCTCTACCTTCCTCTCTCTGAAAAATCAATAAAAAAATATATTTTTTAAAAAATAATCTAAGTGGTTTTTTGTGTTTTCAGTGATTTCTAAACCCTGTCTATAATTATCCAAATTAAAACTTAAAAATAAAAGAACTCATTTGCTGTAAAAAATAACATTTGAAGTGTTTTTCTTAGGTAATAGTATGAAAAACATGACCTAACAACAGTGTAATTTATATAATTCTCTACACTAATAGCACCTAAAGATAATATAATATTTGTCATAAATTATTTACCAAACCAGCCAGGGTGGAATCTTACATTTATTAAAATCCTGCACAGCACTTACAAATGTTTAATTCTATTGGATACCCTGAGAGGAAGGAATTAATCTTGAACAAATTTCAGGGTTTTTTTTTTTCATTTTAGTGGAAGCCATGACTTTATTAATGATAGAAACAACACAATATTCAAACCAAGCTGCAGTTACTCTTTTGAAACACTACCAAAAATCCTCATTTTTAGATGGTTATATTTCTAATTCTATAATAGCATTTGCAATATCATTAGTTCTTCAGGGCTCTGATGCTCTTTTCTCTCAACGCATTAGCATGTGACATGACTTCCACACCTGCTTCAACAACCTCTTCCTCTCACTCTCCTCTTGTACAGCTGGAGGCTGTGTGTTTTCTCTAATGTTTGAGGCAGCTTCACTAAACTTGGACTTTCTCTGCAGCTTCTAGTTGTGCTTGCTGAGATAAATTCTCAATCTTGGCTTCCCCCCAAACTACATAGGTATCAGCAGCCAGGCTCTTGTACACATCTGGTTTTGGAATGACAAAGAGGACATTCTTAGATTTCTGGATAGTGACCCTAGTAGCCCCTGTAACCTGTGAGGACCCCGTTTGGACACAGCCTTCTGAGCCTTCCTTTCTCTGTGGCTCTGTTTTGCTTTACTGACTGGCTCGCCATCGGTTTCAGCGGCTGCTGCCAGCTGGCCTTGCTGCGTGGCTGCCTGTGTGGAACCTTGTCTCTCCAGCTCGGGTACTGATGCATCACAGTCAGATTCTGTTCCAGACCCTGGCTCAGCCCGGGGCTGGGGCCACTCCTGCTCTGTAGCAGGGCGGGTTCTGTGGCTTCACCGGGCATTTTGTGTGGGGAACGTGGAACCAAGAAGGCAGCAGAGAGGGAGCAAGAGAGTGACCTACCCAGAGTTTATTTTTTAAAGTCTTTTTATTTAAGTACCTTGAGATAAAATGTGTTATTATTTTATTAATTTTCAATTTTATAAGTAATAAAGGCTATTTTGACTTTTTCCCTGACCATTTAATCTTTCTGATCTATCCTGGATAACTATGTCACTTATCACTCTAAACTCTGGGTTTTCCATTCGAGAAAGAAGAAATTAATCATGATATTCCATAGGAGAAATACTTGAAATACTTCAAAATGAGCATCTGAGGTCATTTAGCTTGAATCAACAATCACCTAAACAATAATGAGACTACACTCAGCCTACCTAACTTCAGAATCAGAATTCCTAAGCCTTGTACTGAGCTACAGGTATGCTGCCTTTCAACCTTAAAACCTTTCTGTAAAGTCTTTTCCCACAACCTTTAGTGATAAGAGAGCAAAGGATGGGCCAGATCCCTGGAGGCAAGCCAGCTCTGGTCCCAAAACCTTCTACTAGAATTGTGGGCTTTGCAAGAGGAGTGAAGATGGAGGAGGGGATCAGCCTCATGCTCTGAATCTAAGAGAAGACTGGTGTCCACACTCTGGATCAGAAGGAGAATAGGCTGTACTCCTAGGATCTGCTTCAGGGAGATACTTGTTTCCCAAGCCCTTGGTCTTGACAGACCTGGTTCTTATTCCCTAGGCTTTGGCAATGTCTGACCCTCATACCCAAGGTCTAAGGAAAGTCACTTTACTTACACTGTGGGTCTATAGGAAATTTTCTTTGGAAACCCAGAGCCCTATCTCTATGGATTTTTTTAAAAACCCCACAAAGCTTGATTAACCAAAGGGTTATTCTTTACTGAGTAGCCAGGTATTTCTTGTTTACATATTGTTCTTCTATATCAGTGATCAAATATCTCCTTTCTCACCCAAGAATCCTGTCATGCTGGGCTAAGTGGCCTAACCCAGGGAGTATTTCCTGTCTTTCTTAAGGGAGAAAAAAACTCAGTAACACCTGTGAAGGTCACAGCCCAGAAAAATTGGTCCACAAAAGACTGAGGTTTCATTACACACGTGGAATTGTTCACCTTTTCTCACCACCATACCAACCAGACTTGAGAATAACAACAGTGGGTGATAACTGAAAAAGTGACAGGTCCAGACTCTGTTTCACGATGAATTCTTAAGGAGCCCAAAGACCACAGGAACAGCAAAAAACAAAACAAAATAAAAAAAATGAACAAAAATATACCAAAGACACTAGAAAATTTAAAGCTTCTGACATCTATGGCTACAACAAATATTAAGCATGCTCCAACTCCTAACCTGATTAACATCGATTCATCCATTCTTTAGTTTGATCACAAATCTTGGTTTAAAATAATTCCAGACTCCTAAGTATAAGTAGGTCAGAAAATTAAGAAGAGAACTCAGGGCAATCTTCCCAAAGTAACCAGTTTCTTCTGTAGTCACAGGTAAATGGACAGAGAGAGGGTTCCTGGGAAGCAGGGGATGTAAGCATATTCTATTGCTTTTCTCTGTGAAATCACCCTCAGGTATTGTACTTTGGGACTGAAATCTTAGCCCTATTGTGGACCCCTTGCTACTCTGTTCAGCTTCCTGAAGTGACGATTTATGTGTTTTGTCTCCCTTGGAAAACTAAGATGCAGAGGCTTAGTTATAAATTAGTTTTTAAGGGAGATAGAACTGAACTGAGATTCCTTGTCAATTGTGTATTTTTTTAATTCTCACCTGAGGAAATGTTTTCATTGATTTTTTAGAGAGAGGGAGAAGACGGGAGAAGAGAGAGAGGGAAGCATCGATTGGTTGCCTCCCACACATGTCCTTACTGGGGATCGAACCCTCAACCCAGGTATGTGTCCTGACCCAGAATCAAACTTGGTGAATGGGGCAATGTTCCAACAAACTGAGCCACCCAGCCAGGGCTATATTTTTTTCTTGACCCTGTTCTTTGTCCCTGTCACTATCCTTAACACAAACATTAAGCTGTTTTGACTGGAACTCTCTCCCTATCTTGGGTTTATCTCCTCTTTATGGGTCTTCCTTTGAGAAAGAGAATGGGAGAGATAAATGTCATCCTGGACAATGACAAGGGGAGACAAAAGAGGGAATAAATGAAAAATTGTGTTGAGAATGAAGGGGGAGCCAACGAAGGAAGGATATCTAGGAAACCAAACATATTATCATAAACCAGAGTGCACTCTTCATTGCTGACCCTTTTTTGACCTGACTCCACCCCCAAGGGGCACAGCTCAGCCTTGACCAATGATTTAAAAGTACTAGGGGAAACAAGGGGCCAGAGGTGAGCAGTAAAGAATAAAAAGCTACCCCTTCCAGCAGCAGGCATATGTGTTTTGACAACTCTGTGATCTCTATAAGCTCTCAGACCCGGCATCATGGTACATTTTACTAGTGAGGAGAAGGCTGCTATCACTAAGGTGTGGGGCAAAGTAAATGTGGAAGAGGCTGGAGGCGAGGCACTGGGCAGGTATGAACTGGAATTCAATGCATGGGTGATGATGGTGAATATGAGCCTTGAAAATTGATCACAAAAGTCTTTTAAGATTTTTAAGAGCCTTTGATTTCCCATCTGCTGTGCTTCCATCTTATAGGCTCCTAGTCGTCTACCCCTGGACCCAGAGGTTCTTTGACAGCTTTGGCAACATGTCCTCTCCTTCTGCCATAATGGGAAACCCCAAGGTCAAAGCTCATGGCAAGAAGGTGCTGATCTCCTTTGGAGATGCTGTTAAGAACTTGGACAACCTCAAGAGTACCTTTGCTAAGCTGAGTGAGCTACATTTTGACAAACTGCATGTGGATCCTGAGAACTTCAGGGTGAGTTCAGAAAATGTTCATGTGCTACTTTTTTCCTTTTTAAACTTTAGGATAATAATGGAAATTGATTGTTTTATTGGGAAAACTAACAAAGACCTCAGAACTTATGGGTCATTGGGTTAAGAGAGCAGACCTCCATTAGGTATAACCAAGGCCACCTTGATTCAGAACTAGTGACACTAAAGAGTGATGAACAGCCTGAGTTTGCTTGAAACTTTTCAGAAACTCTTGTCAGAACTGGATGTGTTTATTAGAGAATAACATCAGAGAAAAACAAACTTGTTTCTCAAGAAGGAATGGAATTTAACTTCTGATAGATAAAGTCCTATCTTAGGGAAGGAGAAATGCATTATTTTATGTGATCCCTTATGACTGAGGTTTAGGAAGAGATTTTGGAGAAACATTTTTTAGACAGAATGTCTCAAAAAATACAAGCCCTGGAAGATATGTTCACTTACTGTTGGTATTGTGACCAAGTGAATGCTTGTTCTGGCAATGGTTGGAGACTTTAACTAAACTCACTCTGAGAGTCCATGAAGCCCTGAAATTCTATGCTTACAGGAATTACACAGTTAGTAAATGAGAGAGGGAAGCAGGAAAGAAGGGAGAAGGGCAAATAAAAATGCTAAAATTGGGGAAAAGATTGAGACATAGGTAGGCAAAATGTTGAATGGAGAGCTCATAATAAATTGAATTTAGGAACTAGTTTATCTGAGTTTATTGAATAGGAACAACCCTTCGAGGAATTTAAAATGCAGAGTTGGCGGGGAGTTTAGGTATTAAGTGATTCTTTTTTCTACAACTTGTTTTGGAAACTTCTACTCAACATGCGTATTTGTCATTTTGTCTTTTACCTAACAGCTCCTGGGCAATGTGATGCTGATTGTCCTGGCTACTCATTTTGGCAAGGAATTCAGCCCTGAGGTGCAGGCTGCTTGGCAGAAGCTGGTGGTTGGTGTTGCCAATGCTATGGCCCACAAGTACCAGTGAGTCCTTTCAAGTTTACCAGTACCCATTATGTCCCCATTGCCTTCCTTCTCCAAATGGGAACTGGAATTTTGTCTTGACAACACAGCTTCTGTTTAATAAAGTACATTCTATTGAGTAATCAGAAATTATATTGTATCTTTTTCATCTTTTACTCTTGTGTTAGAGGAGAAAAGCTTCATTGCCTGAGGGGTGGGAAGAGACATAAGAAGAAACAGAGCTCTTTTGAGAAGTGTACATTACCGGAGGATTCTAGAGCATCTGGCAAGATGGGGAAAAGTTTTCTGGGGTGGGGTAAGAGTCAATTAAGTGGGTGAGGACTTACAGTGCAGTGTAACAAAAATCTTACTATAGAGGGGAAAGAAGGAGGTGGTAAGCAGTGCCGAAGAAAAAAACAAAGTAGATTTGTGGTACATGTCAGAATTCAGACTTTGGGTGGTGGGCACACAATGCAAAGAATTGTGCACTTGAAACCTATATAATCTTATCAACCAATGTTACCCTAATAAATTTAATAAAAAAGAAAAGAATTTTGTAGGGATCCAGGTCTAGGGTTGGGTTACTATTTCAATTCACTCTAATGTGCATTTTGAATCACTTAACTTGTCATATGTCGGGAGATAGAATTGGAGATAAGAGGATGAGTTGAGTGATGGCTGGGATCTTTCTAGATAAAGTTGCTATTAATCAACAATAGCTTGCACTTTCCTGATGGGTTACACTGTTTCACTGGGGAGTCAAGGCTGAGACACATGAAATCATTGTGAATTATCTTCTGATTGAATATAGCATGTACAAAAATAAAGTTAGTTAGGATATTGTGTAAATTTTAAGGGGAAAGAATGGCCAAGACTTCATGTAAGAAGTAAGATACTAACAAAGGCTTGCAGTGTAAACCAACAAGCTAGGGCCTGGTGACTTGCATGAAAATGCCTATCTGGAAGCACAGGAGAGAGTAAGACAGAGTATTAGGAAAGACTAGGTGATGAGAGGCCCTAACTAAATAAAAAAGTTACTACTTTTTAAAATTATTTTTTCACTATTGCTATCAGCAAGAGTGAACAAATATTCTTAGAACTTTAAATGACTCAAATAATAAGATTGGGAGGGGGGATACTTAATGGACACAAAAATAAATTCAAAATTGCAGAGACTAGACATGGATTCTAATTCAGGGGAACAGACATAATGGGCTAAACCCAAGAAGAGCAATGAGAGTCTGCAAAAATTAAAGAATGAGCAAAGTTAGGATGAAGAGGACATGGTTTCTGATGGACTGGGGTAGATTAAAAGGAAGGAGGTGGTGGTAGATGACTGAAAGCTCTAAGCCTGGATAAATCTATAAGATGCCATACACTGAACTGTGGACCCCCAAGTAGGAGTGGCATTAACTGAATCACTTTTGGAGGAGTTATTGCTAGTTTACTCAGGGAGTCTTGACTTTTGGACCTTGCATCAAATTCTCATATCAAGGCTTGAGACCCTCACACTTTATAAATCTGAGTGTCATTACTTGGCAAATTTAACTCTTTTAGGCATTTCATTGCCCCCACAAAGTGATTGGAATTTGTCTTGTGAATTACTTTCTAATTTCACCTTATGTCTCCATAATAAGGATGAGAGACCATGATTAGTCTGCTTATATTATAGGCTATCAACAGCCCTGGCATCTCTAAGCCCTATGACCTCTCATTATGGCCCTAAACAGAGTAAACAGAGGCTATTCATGGCACTAAGCCTTCTTACCCAGTCAACTAATGAGAGCTATGTGCATTTTGCTGTTGTTGTTCAAGATATTACAGATGCCCCTTTTTCTCCCCAATGGCCTGTTCCACCCCACCCACTCCCCTCACCAGTCCCTGACCACACCACTGTCTGTGTCTTTGGGTTGTGCATATACGCATATAAGTTCTTTGGTTAATCTCTCCCACTCCACCCACCCACCCCCCTCCATCCCTCTGACATTTGTCAGTCTGATCCATACTTCCATGTCATTGAATCATTTCTGTCCCTCAGTTTATTAAGTTCTTTAGATTCCACATATAAGGGAGATCATGTGGTTTGTCTTCCTCTGACTGGCTTATTTCACTTAGCATAATACTCTCCCTGTCTCTTATANCATATAAGGGAGATCATGTGGTTTGTCTTCCTCTGACTGGCTTATTTCACTTAGCATAATACTCTCCAGTTCCCTCCATGCTGTCCCAAAGGGTAAAAGATCCTTCTTTTTTACCGCTGTATAGTATCCCATTGTATAAATGTCCCACAGCTTTTTTATCCACTCATCTACTGATGGGCACTTGGGCTATTTTCAGATCTTAGCAATTGTAAATTGCCCTGCTATGAACATAGGGGTGCATATATCCTTTCTGATTAGTGTTTCAAGATTCTTAGGATATATTTCTAGAAGTGGGATCATGAGGTCAAAAGGCAGCTCCATTTTTAACTTTTTGAGGAACCTCCATACTGTTTTCCATAGTGGCTGCCCCAGTCTGCATTCCCACCAGCAGTATACCAGGGTTCTCCTTTCTCCACATTCTCTCCAGCACATGTCGTTTGTTGATTTGTTGATGGAGCCATTCTGACAGGCGTGAAGTGATACCTCATTGTGGTTTTAATTTGCATCTCTCTGATGATTACTAATGTTGAGCATTTTTTCATATGTCTCTTGGCCAGAAGCAGTTTTAATCAACCTCTTCTTCTCTTTTCTACCCCTGATCTATTATTCTGAATTTAAATGTCAAGGGGTCAAAGATGGTGATGATGGTGGGCAAAAGATACATTCTTTCTCCTTTAGGGACCTAGATTTAGATCTAGATTTTGTCAGGTTAACACAGCTTAATCGATAAAGCTTTATAATTAACACACACACACATGCATACAGGCAGAGTTGGATGGCTCAGCTCTTTAATAGATGAAAGAATGACTACTTATTGTTGGTAGGCAATAAAAGACACCTGAGCAAAATCAAGTTATGATAAACAGAATATTCTTAGAATATTTATCTAGCTAAGAGTACAGAGGGTTTTCAGATTATGTCATTACCAGGATTAAAATGCCATAATGGTTTCTTACTCCCTATCCCTGAAGATAAGTTCTAAGTTATTTGGTTTATGCTTCCTCTGCAACACTATTTTCTGCAGTTCTCACCTTTACTACATATCAACCACATTTGCCCATTATTCATATGTTTGCTTACCTTCCTCAGAGGTTTTATTCACTGCTCCAACTTTCAGACTTTCTATCCCAGTATTTCCCATGGCAGATTCCTTCTTTTTATTCTGGCCCCAGCTCAGATATTACTTCCTTAGAAGGCCTATTCCTGATGTAATTTTCCCCCTCTCTAAAAGTCCAGATATTAATTTTCTTCATAGCAAATAATCATTTCTGAAATTATTTTATTGATTGATTTATTCTTTTTTTATATCTTCTACCTCTAAATTATGAGTCTTAAGAAGAAAGTTACTTTCTCTTCCTCATTTATCTTAAGTCCCTCATACTTAGAACAATTATGTGCACTTATTCAACAAATAGTTATTGAATAAATGCTTGAGAACACGTGAGAATGAATGCTTTAAAAACCATGGATGGCTTTTGTTAAGAAATAGCTTAGAAAGTGAGGATTTATGCAATGTCGGAAGCAATGACGTGGGGAAAATGGGAAGATATGACAGTTAAAGGCAAGGAAAAATGAACAAGCTTTTGAAAGATATTGCCTCAAAAGTATAAGAGAAAAGCAGGAGTTACAGATGACTTTTGATTCACTGTCTGGATTTCTGGAAAAATGGGGAGGTTGCTTGCAGACATACGAGGATCATAAAAACCCATTGGTCTGAGGTGGAGTAATTAAGATTCACAGAACCTAAGTTAGACGATAAACTAATTTGAAGATAGAGGTACCTTGTAATAAAACTTTACTGGTAACTTTTTAATCTGTGCTTTTATATGATTATCAGGTCTGGCCATAGGGGCAAATAATCAAACCAGATTTCCAAAACTTCAGGCACCACAAGTTAGCAAGGGCTCAGTGGATTTCCTGGCTCAAGACTGTCTCTTTTTTTCCTTCATTTCACTCATCTCTGATCTTAAAGAGAATACTCTTGGTTTTGCCTCAAATTCTTACCTGGCCTTTCACATGAACGAAGTCTTCCCTGTTTTTCTAAGAACAGATAACAGCCTCACAACTATGACAAGTAGGCTGACAGGATCACTTCTCTAATAGCAGAAACTCAGCTCTATGTATTGGGTTGAGCTCTTTAAATTTTAGAGTCCTCTATAAATACACATGGAAATGGATTATTAAGAGTTATTTTGTAAAGAATTTATTTCAGGGAAAAACAAACAAAGCAGCTTCCTAAAACTCTAAATACAGAACTAATAGGCTCTAAGAGGAAAATATAACATGAACCAGTTCCTCTCCCACTGGAGGTGTGCCCTGTGTGTGTGTGTGTGTGTGTGTGTGTGTGTGTGTTCTATTTTGACAAGAAAATAAAACAACAAAACAGTAAAAGTAATACACACTTGGGTTAACATACACTTAGAAGGAATGTACATTTGGGAATTCTTAAAGATATGGGAGAGCTCTGATGGGAGAAATGGGCATCATGGGACAAAAACTCAGAACCAGAGTAAAGACTTTAGGGAAGGCAAGGAATCAGGATGGAGGCAGAGTGTCAACATGGGCATCTGGTAGAGAAAAGTTAACNTCACTGTATGGGCCAGAGTAAAGACTTTAGGGAAGGCAAGGAATCAGGATGGAGGCAGAGTGTCAACATGGGCATCTGGTAGAGAAAAGTTAACCCAGGTGTTAAAACAGTAATGTCCAAGAAAGAGTTCTAAGTCCCTTCTGCTTATGGGAACACATTTTCTTAAAGCAGCTGGTTTGCTACAAGCTGTTGTGAGGATAAATTAGGATGGGAGTGGTTGGAGGTCAGAGCATGTGATAACTCTTTTCAAAGTCAATTCCAAAGAATTGATCCTAGGCTTTATTAATAACTTTATGTTTAAGTGGTGAGTACCTGGATTAAACTGATTGCATTGCCATCAGGAGAGACAGTGCCCAAGTGTGAAGGTTGGCTGTAACGTTCCAAGGAAGAGAGGTCATTATAAACTGCTCAGAGAGATGGAGATTTATTTGGGGAAATGAACAGAAGCAGCTCAGAGGCCAGCTCAGAGCAACAGATTTGCACTGTGAGAAAAGAAAAGGAAATAAATTGCACAGAGTAGCTGGGAAGAACAGATCTCAGGGTTATTTTATTTTGTGACTAGATGTTAACACTCATTTACAGGCAAGAGTGTAATGTGACGTACAGGAGAGTTAAAAAGATGAGCCTGGCTGTGGGTGCTGAGTAGATTAGAGACAATGCTAATATCCTTCCTTCCTTCCTTCCTTCCTTCCTTCCTTCCTTCCTTCCTTCCTTCCTTCCTTCCTTCCTTCCTTTTTCTTTCATTTTTTTTTTCTCTCCAGCATCAGAGGTTTTCACCTGCTCTTCCTGCTTCCAGGAAGTTATTTCTCCAAACTACTTACATTTGACTTCATCTTGCCATTAAGGTCCCACTTCAAATATAACTTTAGGACATCCTTCATTATATAATTTTTCTGTAGCCACTTGCTACCATGTCATCAGATGCATTTCCTTTCTGTCATATAACACCATCTGAAATTCTCTTATTCATTTGTTTGTTTAATTATTAATGTAAGTCTCCTCTGCCCAATAGAATGTGAACATCATGAGACTTGACCAACTGTTTTGTTCTTCCAAGATTTTCAGTATTGAAAACAATGCCTGGCATGATTAGCCTTAATAAATATTTGATTTTTTAAATATGTGATGAGTGATTGGAAAATCGTTAGATGACTATGATGATGATCTAGCATTGATGTGATAAGCATCTAGATGGCAATTAGAGTGGGGAGCATGGGAATAAATTGGAAGTGTGGAACAGCAATGAGCAAGAAAGAATCAAAAAGTCTTTGAAAATGATTGACTAAAGAGGGTGAAGGAAAAGCAGGATTAGAGGTAACTGCTGGACTCACTGTCTGGTTTGCTGGAAAGACAGGAGGAGGCTCTTCACTATCATGCAGAGTTGCAGGTGTCCCTGAGTCAGGGACTTCAGTGTGCACACACTGTTGGAGGTGAGCATTAGTGCCATTAGAGAGCAAGTACCCTGAGCCATGCCCTCAGCTCAGGCCCACAATTAAGTAGAAATAAGATTTCTTGCAGTGATCAGAGTTTTCTCTTCTTTATTTTATTTCATGGGCTTCTTCTCTTGAAACAAATCCTTTTGGGATTGATTCAAACTTTTTTCTTTATATCTCTGTACCAAAGTGCTCACATCAAAAAAGCTTGGCACTAAGAGCTCACAGATAATCAAGGCTATCATGGTAACCTAGCTTTTGGCACCTTAGCAGTTCTTTTCCACATTTCACATTTAAGCCTTCTCCAAGCTGAATAGATAAAAGCCTATCACTGTATCAAGTAGACAGAAAAGATTTATCTTGTAAAAACAGAAACTCAGCTCTAATATATTGGGTTGAACTCTTTAGATTTTAAAGTACTTCTATAAATACACATGGAAATTATTAAACTGTATAGGTTTTGGAGGGTTTTTTTTGGAAGACTGATATCAGAGAAAAAACAAACAAGTCTGGAACTCAACTTGTGGGAGAAACAACTTCTGAGAGAAAAACTATAAAATAAGCCTTTCCCTCTCCCATAGGAAGTATGTTTTGCCTAGTCCCACAAATGTTTGTTTGAGAGTCATGAAACCAAAATTCCTTAAATCACAGAAACAGTAGTGTGTGGCGTATTGTCAATGAAGATAGCCTCTGCCTAACTGGACATGAGAAAAAGTTAAACGCCCAAAGGAGTGTGGATCCAGCATATGCTAGGGATAACTTCATTAATCTGTACCCACCTCCATGGAGTCCTCTAAAACTCTGTTCATTGAACACAGGGACACTTATTTCCCCCAACACTTTCTTGTGTATATGCTGACACAAAAGAGTACATGCGTGGTATGGGCCAGAGACGCTTGTCCATATAATCAGAGTGAAATAAATGTGCTCTAACAAGTGCGTATATTATTAATAGACCTAAACAACAAAGGGGAAATGTTCAATTCTTATCTAAATTATCCAGTTTCCTCTCCTGTTTCAAAAATGATGCAGGATTGGGGTCTTTTTCTTGTTTACAAGAACTATAAAAGTATGAGCCTCATCTAAGCTTTAGAAAAATTGGTAACCGAGTTGAACTGGTGGCTTCTTCTAAACCACAGGTGAACAATAGATTGATGTCTTGCAAACACCTGACACAATGCCCAATAGATTTCTAATTCTTATACTTCTTAAGTCTAGTCACGCCTCATGGTCAGCTTAGAGGTTACCAGGAATAGTGGTGGTGGGGAGCCTGAGATATGAATTACATAGTAGATGGTAGGGGAGAGAACAGCAGAATCCCCCTGATAGAGCCACCTAACACTATCAGTGACACAAATGTCCATCTTGCTGACCTTCCCTTGTCCAAACCCCACCCTTGGTGTGACAATGCACTCTTGACCAATAGTCTCATTTCATTGGAAGAAGCAAGGACCTGGAGGCCAAAGATGAGGAATAAAAGTCCAGACAGAGAAGCAGTAGCACAGACTTGCTTCTGGCTCATCTGTGATCAACAGAACACTCTCAGACACCATGGTGCATTTCACTGCTGAGGAGAAGGCTGTTGTTGCTAGCCTGTGGGCCAAGGTGAACGTGGAGGTAGCTGGAGGTGAGGTCCTGGGAAGGTAAGTACTGGAAGTGAGGGAAAGGGCAGAAAGGCAGAAAGTGTTCCTGAAAGAAAAATTGATCAGATCTCTTACATACTCTGACTTCCCATCTGGTCTGTGACTATGTTCATTCCATAGGCTTCTAGTCGTTTACCCATGGACCCAGAGGTTCTTTGACAGTTTTGGCAACTTATCTTCTGAAACTGCAATAATGGGCAACCCCAAGGTCAAGGCCCATGGCAAGAAGGTTCTGACCTCTTTCGGAAATGCTGTGAAACATATGGATGACCTCAAGGGCACCTTTTCTCAGCTGAGTGAGCTGCACTGTGACAGGCTGCATGTGGATCCTGAGAACTTTAAGGTGAGTTTTGAGAGTGCTTGTATTTTGTTCTTTCATCCTAGATATTTGTATACCATGTATACATTAGGAAACACAGACACTTAAGTCTAGTCCTATATAGGTAGTTGTAGAAAGAAGTATTTCAGGGAAGAGCTAAATTTTGGTAGTTAAGTTGTTTCAAAGGTAAGACTGAGTAGAGTAATTACTATGACCAGTAGAGACCACTGGTCATCTGATATTTCAAAAAATAATATATTGTTGTGCAGAGCACTGGCCAAAATTGAGCTAAATGTTTTTGACATAGAGAATACAAATTGAGCCAGGGAGAAAATATCTTGCTTTGGTTCACTGAGATTTTCTATAAAAATGGATGAATATATTGTTGCATGGTTCTTGATGTTAGAACCAGGACTAAGCAAGGTAAAATAAAAACAATCTTTTCAATGGATGTTTGTGTCCCCTTCCCTTCTCCATTAGCAGTGATGAAATTCAACACAGGATTCTTTATTATATGAGTATGCAAACAATTTGAATATATGTAATATCTGCAAACTTTGACTGTTCATATTGAGACTCCTTGTAGCACTGTAATCCTATTTTTAACAAAAACAAAGATTCTCTAAAGGAGAGAAGCAATTCATAGCAATATCATAGCAATGTCCTGGGGTCATGAATTGTCAGGGCAAATGAAAGAAAAATTGAACCCAATGGCAAGTACACTATTGGGAATCATATTGAAGCCAATGTCAAGCCCATAATGATGCACTTGTGAGGGATCATGACCCTGAAAGTTGCTCAAACTATTATCAGAAAGGAAATGGGTGTTGTATCTTTTGCTTCAAGGCCAGATTTAGATCTTCTGCTTACTATATTCTATTTTCTTTTTACTTCCACTCTCTCCCCAGCTTCTAGGCAATATGATAGTGGTTGTCTTGGCAACCCAATTTGGCAGGGAGTTTACCCCCCAGATGCAAGCAGCCTGGCAGAAGCTGACAACTGCTGTGGCTAATGCTCTGGCCTACAAGTACCACTGAGTCACCTGTCCAACTCTGTGAGTGCCTACCTGAAGGTCCTGTGTTCCAAGAGTCCATCCCCTGAAGGCTGGGGGAAATGCCTTGCCTCTATACTTAACACCTATGTGACAAAAATAAAATAAAAATATGCTCTATAAGGAATATCCTTGTCTTCTCTTTGTGTTATCTTTTATGTTGATTCAGCTACAATAAAGCACTCCTATGAGAATAAGAACAATAGATTGGTAGTTTGGGGATGATAGAGAAGAAACTCTTGTGAGGCTCTGCAAGGTAAGAGTGGCTCCAAAAGAGTAGTTACTTCTAGAAAGAGAGAGTAGATTTTTGAATTGGGCAATGTCTTTAGAAAAAGGGATGGAATAGAAGTATTCTTGAGACATGCAAGAAAATGATTGATTGTGAGTAGGGCATGTTAGGACTTAGTATGGGTCCCGTATATGTTATTATTTGTATAAACTCAGGATAGTGTTCTTTTCAAGCTATAATTCACTTCTATTTAACATGAGAAACATATTTTTACCAGCTGTAATGCAGTGAGGTTGGGGCTTCCACAGACCCAGTCAAAGGCTATTCTATAAAAATTTCCCTAGTGTCTTCAATGGTATTAATGGAAAAACCATCCCTAAGGCATACATACTGACTGCCTTGGTTTGAATCTGTTTCACCTGCTAGCTCTGTGACATGGAACATATTTATAATTCAATTAAGCCTTTGATGGAGATAAAAGTTGATTTATATGGGAAAATGATAAATCCAGGAATCATCATGCCAGGCCTACGTAACAGATATGAAATTTGTCCTTTAAATACAGTGGAGTGGTATAAAATTAGAGAAGCTACTAGAGACACCAAAAAAAGCAAGAACAGATGCTATTGTTAGAAGCATAAAAACAAACAAACAAAAAACAAGGTGAAGTTTCCTGCACAGGAGGGGGGCATAATAAAGAGGGAATTTGAGGGAAATTAGTCCATGTGTGGGTACAGAACTAAAAAGACAGGATCTAACTTGAATTTAGCCATAGGAGTTTGCTGCAATTATAGTGAAGTGATGCGTAAAGGACTGAACTTGACAGATGCAATGAAACTAAGGAAAAATTAAGTAAGGGACCATTGTAGCGAAGATTCTGTAGCCCTTAAAATATAGTAAAATAGAGAGGGGAGAAGTCACAAATGGTAGCCAGTTTCTCTGTCTGGTGAAAGAGAAGAAGAAAATCCATTGCCAAAACAGAAAGTGCCTAGAAGTCTCTTGTCTGGAGCTGGCACTGAGCACAGTTACTTTTGTGGCAATCACTTCAAATGCCTGTACCCAGGTCCTTGGCATAGAAGTGAAGAGCCTGGGCTTTAGGATTTGATGAAAAAAGATCTAATATCCCCATTGACTTGAAAAGTATTATTAAAAATGTCCTGGTTTGTAAAATGGGATAGTGATTCCAGATTCACAAATACATTCTAAGGTTTCAAGGAGGTATCTCTAAAGTGCATCGTCTGTCATTTTTGAAAGGTAGTGAACATGGTTTATACAGTACACCAAGATGTGTTCCTCTGTGCTGTGTTTCACTGTGTATTCTTGACCTGATTGTATTTTATCTGAACTCAAGGCCCGTAAATCTAACTACTTGCTTAATATCCAATTTTGGATTGTTTAGGAGCACATCAAATATAATATGTCTAAGACTGAACTCCTGATCTTTTGCTAACTTCACCTTCTCCTTGTGTTCCTATTCTCAGTGACTAACACCTCAGTCATTGCTCAAGCCTGAAAACAGAGATGGCATTTTTACTTCCCTCTCCTACTACATCATCCTATTTGTGTGTTTTTTATTCTACCCCTAAAATCCATTTATACACTGAAACATAATAATTTTTTTTAATTTTTGCGTATGTGTGTGTTTTTTAAATATATCTTTATTGATTTCAGAGAGAGAAAGGGAGAGGAAGAGAGAGAGAGAAACATCAATGGTGAGAAAGTCATCATTGATCGGCTGCCTCCTGCATGCCCCCAACTGGGGATCGAGCCCACAACCGGGGCATGTGCCCTGACTGGGAATCAAACCTTGATCTTCTGGATCCTAGGTTGATGCTCAACCTCTGAGCCATGCCCAGCTGAGCTGTTTTGTTTCTAATTCTCACCTGAGGATATGTTTTTCACTGATTCAAGAGAGAGAGAGGAAGGGAGAGAAGAGAGTGAGAGATAGAGAGACAAAGAGAGAGAGGGAGACAGAGAGAGAAAACATCAATGTGAGAGAGAAACATGAATCTGTTGCCTCCTGCACACACCCTGACCTAGGACCAAACCCACAACTTGGGTATGTGCCCTGACCAGGAGTCAAACCTGTGACCCCTCTGTGCATGGGACAATGTTCCAACCAACTGAGCCACACTGGCCAGGGCCGGAATAATTCTTGAAAAATACAAGTCAAATCATGCCACTTCTTTCCTTGGATTTTTCAATACTTTTTTCCTGTCATTCAGGTTAAAGAAAAATAATCTGTAACTGAGTTTAAAAATTATTCATGGCTCCTCTATATCTTTCTATGGTATAATCCCCTTCCCTTCTGATCTGTATTGCAGTCACTCTGTCCATCTTTCTATATATAAACATGTAGTTTGAATTATTGCCTGGTTACTTTTAAGTAACATTATGTTGTACAATCCATCTGTATTGCTGCATGTAAAGCAGTAAGTTAAGTTGCTGTATAACATTTCACTATTTTACTATACTATATTTTTTTATTACACTAAGTGAAGAACATTTAAGGTGCCACTAGTTTGAGATTCTCATGCATATCAGTGTTACAAATGTTCCTAGACATGTCTTTGGATATACACAAGATTTCATTTCTGCATATCTAAAAGTATAATTGCTAGCTCATAGGTTTTGCATAAATTATGCTATCATAGATACTATCAAATATTTTCCAAAGCCATTGGACTATTTTACATTCTCACTAGTGGGGTATGAAAGTTTTTGTTAATCTACAATCTTAGCAAATTTTGGAATTCTCAATCTCTCCTCTCATCTTCTTGATATTATTTTCTTTCCTCTTTGCCTTTCATTTCATTCTTTTCCCTTCAATTAGTTCCTCCTTCCCTTCCTTCCTTCCTCCCTTCCTTCCTCCCTCCCTTCCTTCCTTCCTTCTTTCCTTCCTTCCTTCCTTCCTTCCTTCCTTCCTTCCTTCCTTCCTTCCTTCCTTCCTTCCTTCCTCCTTTTTCCATTTTTTTCCCTCTGAGAGCATAGTTGGGAAAATTTCTGCACTTGAGTTTTCCCTGAAACCCTGTCAGGCTTAATCTGGCTGAGTAAGGTAGATCTTTTCTTTCTTCTTCCCCCTCCCCAATATCTCTGCATTCTTTCTTTAGTCAGATCACAGTTTTAAACAATTATGTTCTAGGTATCAGATATTTTTCTCTGTCTTTATTAGATTTTTTTCATTATCATTCATGCTCCTAAACTTATTTCAGTAGTTGGTAGAGAAACAGTGTTTATTATTTTTCATTATTTTAATGGATATATATTTTAAGGAAAGAATGGAAAGAAAAAAGCATTTTGACTGTAAGCTTTTACCCAAGTAGTAGAAAAAAGGCAAGTTAAAATTATGAAAAAACATTTATCCATTTCACCCACTTATAAATATCTCTAGAGAGAAAGAAAAGCTCTATAAAGTGTCTACTTGATAAAACTTCTCCCTAAGACTTAGTTTTGTTATCTACAAAATGAAAGAACTCCATGAGTTAAACTCTAGGATACATCCCACCTTATCAGACTAAAACATTTATGCATAAGTTGCTTCTGTATATTTGCAGAAGCAACTGCCAAAGGAGATAAGGTCAGGAGATGAATAGAGGAAGAGCACAGAGTCAAGATACACAAGGCCTATGCATGGAGCAAATTTTCAATAAACATAAGCATACAAATATTTACTCAATTACGCTGGTGAGGATAACCTGAAGATAAATTTGGGGTCAAGTGTAGGCAGGAAAAAATTATTGTTGCCCACTTTCTCCAAAGCCAAGCTGTTAACTATGTGTATATATCTATCTACCTCTTCCCCACAGCTCCTGGGCAACATGCTGGTGTGTGTGCTGGCTCACAACTTTGGCAAAGAATTTACCCCACAGGCCCAGGCTGCTTTTCAGAAGGTGGCTGCTGGTGTGGCCACTTCCCTGGCTCACAAGTACCACTGAGATCCTGGTGACTTTTGGAAAACCTTATTTCCCAAGATTCTATCTTCTGAACTTGGAGGAATAGTGCCCATCTTCAAGGGTATGGCTTCTGCCTAATAAAGAACTTTTAGCTCAACTTCTTGACTCATTTTACTTATTTTATTATTTTTTTCCCTCTGGGGTTATGGGAAGGGAATGTCCCTGAGGACCTACACATAGGGAGCTTTTGTGTCTTATACAAGGAGGTCAGGGAAATGAGAAAAGGAAGGGGAGACCATACACAGTTATTAAAAGTTGACACTTCTACCTCCAAAGCATAGGAATGTTCAAGGAGTTCTGAAATAGGGAGAAGATTCTGGCATGATAGGGGCTCTAAGGGGGCCCTCAAATCTAAGACATGGCCTTCAGGCTAATGCTCTGATCCATTTCCTACAATTACTCAAAATATAATGTGCTCAATAGAGACATAATGCTTGTTCAAGGCACTGTTACATTTTCTTTTTTCTACTTCTCTTGCCTACACATTGTCGACCCCAATACTAGACTTCATCAAGTGCCTCTGCTCTAAGAAATAACCAATGCTCTTTCACTGGTGGCAAAACACATCCAAAACTAGTCCCCATACCCCCTTCAGGCAAAGTTTAATGCTTAAATATCGCCTGTGACCATTTTTGACCCTGGCTCCAATGAACTTTACAATATTGCCAAAGGGAGTCTTTTCCACCCCCTCCCCATTTTTCACATTTCTTTTTATCCATAACACTCACACTCTATGCTGTGTAAACATTTCTGCCTATTTAGTACTATCCCACATGAGTACTGTGCCTTAAGATACTTTATAGGTAGTGAGGAAATATTTATTAAATAAAATAAGTCAATGAGTAGATGATTATTCCTTGTGTTAGAACTCCTGGGACCAGAGGACAATCTTAACAAAAGACCATTGCACAGAGTTCCTTGGGTGTTAATGATACAATATAAAATGAAGAAGCACTTAGGAAAGTAAAGCACTGATCACACATTTGTTTCCTGATCATAGCTAGAAAAATACCTGAAGGATTTCTAGAACTTTCTAACTTGTACACATTTCTTTAAATCTATACAATTTCCTGTTAATTAATATTAGACTTGACTACCTGAAACAGACCATGTTGCTTCCTTATATATGAAAGTGCCTTCATAATAACTCTGCATCTATTACTAGGATATAGACAATGCATTACAGTTTATAGTTTCACCACTATATTTTAAATTGCCTGAGGGCAGAAGTTTTTATATTCTTTTTTTATTCTCAGGTCATTGTACATAGCAGACACTGAGAACTGTTTATATCTGAATAGGATCTTTAACAACCATGGACTCAGAGACACCCCAGGGAAATGTTAGGGAGCTTAGTTCCACATCCTTGATCATACGAAAGTCCTTGTAAGAATCAGGTATCTGGAGAGGAAAAGACTTTCAGAGGATTTGAAGAAGAGTAAGAGAAATTGTGGGTGTCATGGTCTGAAAGGAGTAAACAAAGCACCCTTCTTTCCTCCAAATGATCATGAAAAGAACAAAAATATATAAAGACTATACCCTCTTCTGTTCCTTCACCTCTGGAACTAACCAATGATTATAGACAAGAAATTGGGCCTAAAACTTCTAATACTGAAGAGAAAAATATGGCTTAAAATGAGTTAAACTATCCTTTTCCTATGCTATTCTGTGTTTACGTTCTTTGTTTCTATGAATTATGCTCTTTTTTGAGTATTTTAATTTAATTTAATTTTTGAAATGATGCTAAAAAGAAGTAGCCAAGAGATTGTGCATCTGGGAGAAAAGAGCAAAAAATGTGCTTGACTGAGGAAAATAGAAATTAGATTGTCACTATGGTCTTCTCAGGGAATTTAGACTTAAAGACTAGAGCATGTAAAAAAGCGTTCTAGTTGAGTGCAATTTTTTAAACAAATGAAAAAACTATGTACCTCTGGGTGAATCCCATGATGCTTTAGGAGGAAGTTAATACTTATCCTTTGTACTCAGACTAGGCCCATTCTGGTGTAGAACATTAGGAATTAGGGTAACTTGACAGACTGGAGTAAAGGAAAGAAGCTTCTACCTTGGAGATTCTGTGTGTGTGTGTGTGTGTGTGTGTGTGTGTGTGTGTGTGTGTGTGTGTGTGTGTGTAGTGCTCAGTGGGTCTGGAATCAAAGTAAAGCAGACACCCTGCGGCCCAGGATAGATGTAAGTGCATAGTGGTGAAAGTGGCAGTGGGCCTAAGAAGCTTTCCAGAACCTCTGAATGCTGATCTGGATTGGAGCCCGAGGCTCTGAACATAACCACATTTATCAACATTTATACTTCTGGGATTTGATGTCTTATTATAACTTGCAGTCTTGTCCATGCAGGGTGATGGGTAATGAAAGGAAAAGACTGTTTCACTCTTTGGGCAAGCAAAGTAGAAATAATGACAGAAAGCAGCAACTTCTGTCCTGAAACCAGGAGGATGGTAGCTGCAGCCAAGAGTAACCCACAGATCATTCAAGGCCAAGGAAGACTTAAGGAAAAAAACACAAAAGAAGAACTCAGGGGAACCATTTCTGAGAACCGGAAATGGTAGAGAAAGTCTTTAAGCAGAAGCTAATTTCCATCGATTGACTGGTAGCCTTGACAATGTGGTTCTTCAAAGTGATTCCTGCAAAAGACACACCCAAAATTTCCCCAGATCTCCTTCCACATATATATGCCTGACCTCTGATATCAGGGGTGAGAAATAGGGTTTCGAAAACAATCTGAAAGTAAAAAATGATAAAGTTAACAAAGGTTTAAGTGTAATAAAACATAACTCAAAATCTAAAGGCCAAAACAAATGGTGTCTTCTTGTTGCTGTTAATATTTAAAACATTTAAAATTATTCTTTTCCTAGAATTCAACATGTGGAGTATTTTCCCAGCAAGATGCTCTTTGCTTCAGGGTTTCAGAGAACAATTAATATAAATAGAAAATGCTCAAATTCTCTCTTTTACACCTATAATCTTTTATGGGTATTTAATTCTGAACTAACTTTCAGATGGGCAAACAAAAACCAAGCCTTTTGCATATGTTTGAGAATAATCAGAGTGAGTTTGTTCACAAGTACTTGTTGGGGCTTAGGACAGGTAAAAGGGGTAAGGAATCTTTATTTAGCAATGATGGGGAACATATTTGGGGGGATAGAGGGATGAAAGCAGGATTTTTATGAATTTATTTGGAACAGGTAAAAATAAAAAATCCTTTTCTTCTGGTTCACATAAAAATGTCTTTTTTTTTTTTTTTTTTAATATTTTTTTTTTGTTTTCAGAGAGGGGAA